CTCCTGCCTTTCCTCACAGCAGCCAGCTGGGCCTCTAGGGTCTTTAGGCCGCGCTCACAGCGCCTGGTTTTGGCTGCTTCACCTGCCTCCTTGGCGCTGGCCGCAGCCTCCCGGTAATTGCGGATCCGATCTTCCAGCAGAGCCTGCAGCCCCTGAGGCCCTCCGGCCTGTAGATACTCCAGCTCAGGGCCTGGCCACTCCAGGGCCAGCTAGGCCCTTGCTGCTCCCTCCCTGCAACAAAGCTGCCCCAGAAAGCAGAGCTCTTGGGTTCAAGGAGGAGCTCCTCAAAGCCTCAAGGAGGAGGCAAAAGGCCCCATCAGAGGCAAACACAGAGGCCCAGACCAGCTGTGAGGGGCTACAGAGGATGGTCTGGGAGAACAGACCTGTGAGGCCAGCCAGGCACCAAAGAGTCCCTCATGCTCAGTCACTGCTTCAGCAGGGGCACTGCCGGGGAGGGCCTGAGGGTTACTGCCGTCTTCCTATGCAAGCTATGCTGTGCGCATGTGACACACGGCCGCAGGGCTGTCAGGTCCCTTAAGAACTTACCTGAGCTGCTGGGGCTGAGGCTGTTGCGAGAGGTGTCTGCACTGGAGGCTCAATGTTTTCCTGTCCCTTCTCATCCTCAGAGCTACCCATGTTGGCTGTCTCATTGCCATGCAGGGACCCAGCTTCCCCATCTGCACCCAGGACCTCTTGCAGTTCAGTCTGGGGAGACACAAGTCACAGGAGCTTGGGAGCCTCATGGCCATACATACTGTGATAGGATCTGAAAATAAAGGCCCTTTTCCCCGCAGTACTTCCCCGTATCAGTCACTGTGCCTGAAAGCCCCTTTACCAAAACACTTCTTTAATCTGACTGAAGACAGTCTTGAAACAGTGAGACCACAAGTCTGAGAACCCCCAAGTACAGAGTGCAGACCAGACATCAAAGGAAACTAGTCTCTGCCCTGACCGGTTTGGCTCGGTGGATAGAGCGTCGGCCTGCGGACTGAAGGGTCCCGGGTTCAATTCCAGTCAAGGGCATGTACCTGGGTTGCGGGATCATCCCCAGTGGGGGGTGTGCAGGAGGCAGCTGATCGATGTTTCTCTCTCATCGATGTTTCTAACTCTCTATCCCTCTCCCTTCCTCTCTGTAAAAAATCAATAACATATATTTTAAAAAAAAAGAGGAAACTAGTCTTACACCGTATAGTCAGGAAACAGCCCCAAGAAGGGCAGGGCAGTTGTGCAACATCAGAGCACACACAGGGGCAAACCCCAGCCTCCTCTGCCGTTTGATCAGGCCCAGGACACCGGCTTGGCAGACGTACCAGCAAGTCTATATCGTCCTCCAGCCCTTCTTCTTCCTCCTCCTCCTCCTCCTCCTCCACATCCTGCATACAGTCCGCTGCCAACTTCTCAATGTGGGCCATAGGTAAGGGGGCTGGGGAAACAGAGGGTCAGGGCCTCAGCAAAGGTCCATGAAGAGGGAAGGAGAGCCTTCAATGACTGTACATTTGTACACCCAGGAGGAAACCCTGCCTTTCCACAGCCAGTCCCACCTGGGACACTCCTGCTCTTCCATATGACTCGGCTCTAAAGACCCTCCCCAAGGAAACCTTCCTGGACTCTTCTCCGCATTTATGCTATCGTTCTTCACAGACACATTCATCCTTTTCTAACTACACCTTTCATGTATGTAAAGACTTTTAACATCCATTTGAGCTTCACAGTAATTCTGTAAGACAGGTTGTATTATTCCTTTTATAGAAGTAAACTGAGAACTACCAATATTAATATTCCTATTAATTGCAATCCTATAAGTAGCAGAGCCATGATTCAAACCCAGGCTCATCTAACCCCAAAGGTTTGGACTGAGAAAAAATGGAGGGCCATGGTCCTCCCATTATCCTCAGCTCAGGGGTACAGGGTTGGGGGAGGTCCTCCCTGAGGGTTCCTGGTGAGAAGAGGAAGATTTAGATCCTCTGACCCTCCCAGACTTCAGGTCTCTGTCCTCTTCCAGGCTAGGCAGGATGATTCCGCTTATTCATCAGATACAACTTCTATGCGCTTATTAGTGCCCAATTCAGTCTGTGCTGAGCCCTACTCTATACCAGGCCCTGGCTGGGCTAAGGGTAGAGACCTGAGTCAGCCAGAGAATCATACTGCTGACTGTCCACATGAAGGGGGGCAGTCAGGGAAGGAGTGAGCTCCCCATCACAGGTGTGTGAGCAGGGCAAGACGAGCTCTTGGTGAGAGTGCTGCAGAAGGGACATGGGTAGCAGGACGACCAGGTGATGTGGCTGCATCCTCAGAGCTGTGAGGACTCTCTCCACCACCTGCTTGAGCCCATCTGGTCCCAGCACCAAGTCCAGCCCAGCACCAACAACTTACCCTTCCCTTTGGGGACTGGCTTCCTGCCTGTGGTCCCTGCTTCCCCAGTGAGGGCCAGCAGCTCAGCCTCCAAGTCCTCATCATCTTCAGTCTCCTCCACCCCCAGCAGCATGTCCTCAGGGCTGAACTCCACAAAGAGCCCCAGCTGAGAGCAGAGAAGATTTCTTAGGAACCATACAATGGGGCCAAGGATGTAGCCCAGCCCCACAGCCAGGCTCCTAGAGATCAGTGGCTCCTTCACTGTGAGGCCCAATGTGCAGAAAGGGAAACTGAGGCCTACAATATTACCCCTTAGTATACTCCCTGGTGACTATAAAGACAGTAAGACCACAATGCCATTATTATTACAACAATGACAGCACTGTATTTACTTAGAACTCACGTTAATTAATTCTCACAATCCTAAGGGGTAGGTTCTATTTTTAAAAAAATTATAAAACACACATAACCTGGAAACTATTATCATAACCATTTTAAAGTGTACAGCTCAGTGGCATTAAGTACGTCACACTGTTGTGCTACTATCACCACTCTCCATCCACAGAACTCTTTCCATCTTGCAAAACTGAAACTGTGCGCCCATTAAACAATAACTCCCATTTCCCCTCCCCCAGCCCAATACCCACATTCTACGTTCTGTCTGTATGAATCTGACTCCTCTAAACAGAGGTGGCCCCTATCACAGTCAGATGATACTGAGACAGCCTTGTTAAGTGGCAGAACTAGAATTGAAAATGAGGTCATATGACTTGAGTCTATGCCCTTTATCCTACACCTTCCTTACCTGCCTCTTTTAAGAGGTCCCAGGATTTGAGCCCAGAATAAACAGAGATTAGGGAACAGACCCCTAAGGCTGCAAAGCTCTCCCAGCAGATTAGCCCTCAAGCCCTGGCACCTGTGGCTGGTAAGCAGCGTTGTGGCCCTAAATGAACCCATCAGAGTGCCGAGGCCCCATCAGTACCCCATGAACTGGTGGTTCCTGAAGCCTCCAGATCCCTCGAGGCGGCCATGGCAGGAGGGTGCCTGGGTTGAGTTCAGGCCTCATCCCCGACACGTGTGCAGCGGAGGCCAGGCAGTGTCCCTACGGGCTCTGCCAACTCCTGGAGGCAGGGCTCCAAGTCCCTGCGCTAATGGTGACACCGCCCGGATGGCCCAGTTGGCCCCTGCCCCGC